CTAGACCCATCTAGCGTGTCTAAAGACAACTTATCTAGACCCATCTAGCATGTCTAAAGACAACTTATCTAGACCCATCTAGCGTGTCTAAAGACAACTTATCTAGACCCATCTAGCGTGTCTAAAGACAACTTATCTAGACCCATCTAGCGTGTCTAGACAACTTATCTAGACCCATCTAGCATGTCTAGACAACTTATCTAGACCCATCTAGCATGTCTAAAGACAACTTATCTAGACCCATCTGTAGACTAAACCTTTTTATAACAGACATTTCCAATGTCGCGGAGTCTGTCTCCGTCAGACCGAGGTTTTGTTCAATACCGGATTTAATTTCACGTTTTTGTCTACATCAAAGAGCTATTTGGAGGGCTCGCGTACAGCAGCTGTCATGAAAGGCGATCGCTTTTTACGATTACATTTTGTAGTTTGAGCTGTTCGAGAAGTCACAGGGTGCAAAGGTTTTAACATACCATAAAACATAACATAAGATATAAGAAAAAAAAACATGACATAAACATAACATAAATATAGTATAAACCGAAAACAGATCACTGTAAACAAGACATAAATTATAATTTAAAACATTTTGATCATGATATAAAATATAATATATAACATAACATGCGCGTAAAAGACATCATAACGCATAACATAAACTACGATTTGAGACATTACATAAACTATTAGATAAAAGAACATAAAACAGCATAAAACATGTCATAACATATAACATAAACTACCCAAACCCTGCTGTTGTTTTAAATCACTGTTTGTTTGAGTGACTATAACAAATGGATTTATCTAGTGTAGGATGTAGAGCTATTCAACGTGATTTCTTGTTTCATTTTCAAAAAAGACCAGACCATTAGCGATGCAAATATCTTTTACACTTTATCCGAATTTTTATATTGTTGTAGCATGCAAATGAGTTGCAAGTACAAATTGTTACAGAATGTTAAAAAAAAAAAACATTTTAAATATAAATTAAAATGTTGATTTAAAAAAAAAAAGATAAATGCTTTGTATATTACTTGTATACATTATGTGTATTGCCCTTTTGCCGGTTGTGTCAGAGGGTATAATTTAAGTCTGTGAATTATAAAACCACGTGACATTTTCCACCTCAACATAGCCCAGGTATGGCTTGGTATGTAGTGAGCCTCATATTTTATTATGTAAGGTTAATTATTTATATGTAATGAATTCATGAATAAATAAATTATTCATGCAACTGATTAAATTTTTACAAAGTCTTCTTTGTTGTTTAGAGAGGTGAATTTTAACGAAAAAGGAAGTTACATTTTATTAAATAATTAATTTTATTTTTGATATCAGATACCTTGCATATAGTGGTGGTACCGTAATTATTAAATATCGTTTTAATATGCAAGAAATGTAAACACAATGAATCTGATTTTACAATCTTACAAAACAAATTTATCAAATTTATTTCGTATATATTCTACATTGGTACATGAATAATTTATCTATTAATTGGTTATAACAACAATACTGTTGTAAAGCAATTAATTAATTATAAACAACTATACTGTAATACAGAAATTAATTTGATTATACATGTATTCAACAGCAATTGAATAAATTTAAATAGCATAAAATAAAGCAAACAAATATCTTCCAAATCTATCACCGCATGGTGAGGTACAACGGTGCAGGTAGGGAGCGAGTGGGCAGAGGCGTAGCGACCCTTCCCAGCGCCCGGGGACAAACTTTCGATTCGCATCCCCCCCCCCCCTCAAGATTTTGATTTACACACCCCCCCCCTCAAACTTTAAATTTGCACCCCCTCAACCTTTCAATTTATTTTTTCAACCCATTTTGGCGCCCCTAAGGTCGGCGCCCGAAGACATGTCCCCCCCCCCGCCCCCCCCCCCCCCTCGCTACGCTACTGCGGGTGGAGCGGCCACCCGGGGCTCCTATCTACACGGGAGCCTCAAGGGGTCGAAAAACAAATATTAAAAACATCATATTAAGGTGAAGTAAGAAATTATAGACAGTCAAAGTTCAGAGAGCGGTTTCAATGTCTTTAGACACTGATGTAAAAGGTTTCTACTTCAACAGTGGTAAAAAAAAAACGCCATCAACCTTTCCAACTGCGAAAGGTGGGCGCTTAATCATCAAAATGCATAACTATTAATATATTTGAAATTTGAAATGGGGGGGGGGGGGGGTGCAAGGTTACTGGTTCGCTCATGGGCGCCGGAATGTGTGGCTACGTCTCTGGTGATGTTACATTCAATTTAAAAGAAGAGTTGACATTGAATTTTTTCATCCCATCAAAAGCGCATCAAAGGTAACAAGCAACCTCTAATTACCTCCCTGTTGTGTCATCACAGCGGCGCACGTCACGCTTGAGTCGTCTCTCTGGTCTGGTACACCTGCTACGGTCGGCTGGTTTTGAAATCTATAAACAAAATTTGAACCGGTCTAGTGCTAACAGAATTTGAACTGGTCTAGTGCTAATTTCTGTCTGGAATTTAGAGCAACCATGTTTTTGTACACATATCCTTGTCCTAGTTTGGTCGAGTTAATTAAATTAAAATATTTTCATGGGTTCATGCCCTTAGGACGTCAACGTAACGATTTAATAATTGAGGGTAGATTCATGCCCTTTGGACGTCAACGTGACAATAGAATCACGACTAGGGACGTAGATGACAACAAGATAGCAAGTGCCACGCCCACTGATGTGTATCGCAATTCAATTGTAATAAACGAGAATCACGATTTTCCCGAAATTTGGAAGTGGGATAAGGACGAGACACCAGCCTGCATCCCAGATACTCTCCCCCCCCCCCCGTCCCCCCCCCCACCCCCACCCCACCCTCAATAGATTTGCTTAAACTATACGTCTCAACCGGAGTTATTTCAAATTCGCTAGATTCAAAAACATCACCACCATCTTTTCTTTACCAACCAAAGCTGGATGCAACATTACAGCAACAGCACACAACCATCACACAACCATCACACAACCATCACACAACCATCACACCGACTCCTGACATAGCACTCAGCAGAGGCGTAGCGACCCTTCCCGGCGCCCTGGGACAAACGTTCAATTTGGCGCCCCCCTCCCCATAATTTTTTTTATATGTATAATGCTAACTGCAGCTAACACGATCTTTTAATTTTTGTTTCAACCCATTCTGGCGCTCGGGGACATATGTACCCCCCCCCCCCCGCTCCGCCCCCCATCGCTACGCCTATGGCACTCAGGGCCAGATACTGCAGGGAATTAACGTCACTAATCCCACTCGAGATCAACTAAGGAGATTCAATTCATCTCTGCCATTTATAAGGATTGTCTGCCTTAATCTAATTTTTAATATTTCAAAAGCTTTTGTCTATTGAAAGTTATTGTTGTTCTGTTCAAAGATCTTGTTATCTAAGATCTATTGAAGTAAGATCTTGTTGTTTGTGTACTGAGATTTGTCTTCAACATCCTGTAGCTATTACAATGTCTGCGTCTATCATGAATTGTGGTGTAGCAAACTTTTGTTGATAGCCTGGTTTTTGGATCCTGATGACGTATGAAAGGGTTGTCTCCAGAAACGTTATCGGTTGTACCACCATCGATTGTACCAATGTCATTTGTTGTACCAATGTCATTTGTTGTATCACCATCGTTTGTACCAATGTCATTTGTTGTACCACCATCGTTTGTACCAATGTCATTTGTTGTACCACCATCGTTTGTACCAATGTCATTTGTTGTACCACCATCCTTTATACCAGTATCATTTCTTTTACCACCATCATTTGTACCAGTGTCATTTGTTGTACCAATGTCATTTGTTGTACCACCATCGTTTGTACCAATGTCATTTGTTGTACCAATGTCATTTGTTGTACCAATGTCATTTGTTGTACCAATGTCATTTGTTGTACCAATGTCATTTGTTGTACCAATGTCATTTGTTGTACCACCATTGTTTGCACCAGTGTCATTTGTTGTACTATCATTGTTTGTACCAATGTCATTTGTTGTACCAATGTCATTTGTTGTACCAATGTCATTTGTTGTACCACCATCGTTTGAACCACAAGTACTACCATCGTTAGTTCTACATTTACTACCATCCCATACCATCGTCTGTTTGACTGCAATCCTTGGTTAGATTAGAGAAGGATGTTCGTTGTGTATGACGTCAGCGTTGTTGTCTGAAGTTTTCTTTTTTTTTTTTTTTTTTGCTGCAAGCTTGTGTCACGACTTACCTAAGCCCAGATCTCAAGGCTGATGGGTGTTTCAGGTCAGTAGTTTCAATATTTACTTCATAAAGTAAAAACTTCAAACTCCCCGCTTCAAGTTTTAAAAAAGCTCAGTAACTGTCTCGTATATTGTTATATCATATCCAGGGAGATGACACTGTTATAGAAATGTTTTTTTTAAATTAATTTTAATACTTTAATAGAATAGAATCGATTAGAAAAAACTAATTATGTACAAAATGAACGTAAACATTTTGTACATAATTGGGCAGAAAATCTGTACTTTATAAAGAAATTTTAGTACATTTGTTAATAACTTCATTAACCATCCAATTAAGTTACATTTATGTCACCGTGCATTGTCATCGAAAAGCTGGAAACAACCAGTCCGGTAGAACGATATTTTTTGAGAAATCGGAATGACCGGAATGTACTACTTCCAGTCACCGGAAATAAATAAAAATTTGATACATTCAAGAGAATACAATCTGTCACAAGGGAATTCTATTGTAAGACACTGGAATGTTATACACACAATAATAATCAAAACGGAGTAGTCTCCCCTAGTTGTTGAGAACAAAGTATGAATTAAAGTAATTGTAGATTTGAAAATGACGATCAACAAAATGAACACGATTTTTGCGTTTAGTTAGACGGAAACTGGTACACGTGACAATATCAGACATACACAGATTTTTTGAAATGCAGAATTTTAATAGAAAACATAAAACACATTTGGGAGCAGTGTGGTCGCCTTCTGGTTGAACGACTAACATTTTTCAACGAACGTTTTCAGCGCCAGAGCGAGTTTTGAAGCTGGCATGTCGGTCAGCTGATCGCCGACAGACTTCAAAATCTCGTCCATGTTTTTTCTGTCAGCTGTTCGCTTGTCCAGGTTATTCTTAGCTACCTCCCACAGGATACGCCGCTGTTCTTCTTCGTATTGGACAACAACGCTGTGAAAATTTGGCTTTGTTATGTATATGAAATATAGATATATTTATGGAAAGTATTTAACTTATTTTTATAAAACAGCTTACATCAACATTATCATGTTTCAATAATTATACATTCATCAAATGACACAGTATTAGACGTACAGTTTTTTTTGTGAAAAAATTAAGTACAATTATTTAAACATAAATTATAAATAAAAATAAATTTAAAAAAATAAAGCGAACAATTCAAAAGCTCCTACCTTTTGCAGTAGAGCCAGCCATCCATGTCGTGTCTAAAAGCAAATATAGCACATTGGTCTAGTCGGGTCCATGAAGGTATTAAAGCTTTCGTTGGTGTATGTGTAGTTGTTGTAGGTGCTGGTGTTGTAGTAGGCAATGATGATGTTGGTGTTGTTGATATACGTGTTGTACTGATTGTGGGTTTCGGTGTCGGTGACGTTGTGCTACGTGTTGAAGGTGTAGTTGTTGTAGGTGTTGTTGTTGTGCTTCGTGTTGTAGTTGTTGTAGGTGTTGTTGTTGTAGGTGTTGTTGTTGTGCTACGTGTTGTTGTTGTTGTAGGTGTTGTCGTTGTGCTACGTGTTGTAGTTGTTGTAGGTGTTGTTGTTGTAGGTGTTGTTGTTGTTGTAGGTGTTGTTGTTGTAGGTGTTGTCGTTGTGCTACGTGTTGTAGTTGTTGTAGGTGTTGTTGTTGTAGGAGTTGTTGTTGTAGGTGTTGTTGTTGTTGTGCTACGTGTTGTAGTTGTTGTAGGTGTTGTTGTTGTTGTAGTTGTAGGTGTTGTTGTTGTAGGTGTTGTTGTTGTGCTACGTGTTGTAGTTGTTGTAGGTGTTGTTGTTGCGCTACGTGTTGTAGTTGTTGTAGGTGTTGTTGTTGTTGTTGTGCTACGTGTTGTAGTTGTTGTAGGTGTTGTTGTTGTTGTAGTTGTAGGTGTTGTTGTTGTAGGTGTTGTTGTTGTGCTACGTGTTGTAGTTGTTGTAGGTGTTGTTGTTGTGCTACGTGTTGTAGTTGTTGTAGGTGTTGTTGTTGTAGTTGTTATAGGTGTTGTTGTTGTAGGTGTTGTTGTTGTGCTACGTGTTGTAGTTGTTGTAGGTGTTGTCGTTGTGCTACGTGTTGTAGTTGTTGTAGGTGTTGTAGGTGTAGTTGTTGTGATGGTCGTACTTGTTTGATTTTTGTTCACACAGTATCCATTCAAGCACCACTGAAAAGAATGACATTCCAATTGTTAACACATCCAAGCACATATAAACTATCTGTCCATATCGCTTCGTTATGAGGTTAACCTTGTTAAGCGCTAGCGTCTGAATGTTTTGTTAATAGTACAATCATGACAAATGTATTACATATATACTCTAAGCATGGGTTTTAGGTTGTGTTGTATAGTTAAAATGTATATAGAACTAATAAATTGAAGCCAGACTGTGTTATGTAGCACGTATCTCAGTCTCTCACCTTGTCAGTGCCACAAGGTGTATACTCTAAAGGTAAGACATACTGGCAGGAGCCTGGATTGGATGGTATGCTGCACAACATACCGCGACATATAGCAGCCTCCCCGCCATACTGTTCCTGGTGATTCTAAATTTTAAAAAAAGCTATATTTTATATATTCGAAAAATATATTTACATTCTATCGCTATAATTTTTAAGATTCTTACAGGACAGTAGGTGCTGGTTGAGTTTCTCATGGCACGTTGACATTGTTTGTCTCGGCTAAAGACCTCTCCTGCCCTTTGACCGGGTCCAGGACTTGGTAGGACATCGTTTGATGACGTGTATTCTGGTAATGTGCACGTTTTCCTGCCGCCGAAAGAAAAAGTTTTAAATAAGATAGTTACATTTATCAGTTTATTGATTTATAAAAAAATGCCTTAACATTTTGTTTTCTTGTTGGTGTTGTAAAATAAAAAACAGCTAGAGATATTCTGTTTACCCGCTGAGGTAAGTCTTAAAAGAGTTGATGGAACAACTGGAGAATTTCCAGGAATTGCCTTCTTGAGCTGCGGGAATTCTGGACGTGTACGTCGTGGCCATGATGAACATGTCGGCGTCAGTACAAACAGCGTTGGTGTCAGCGTCGTGTGACGCAGACAGGCTGAGGTAGAGGAATGATGGTTAGATATTTGTAAGCGTCATGTCAGACAGGCTGAGGTAGAGGAATGATGTTTAGATATTTGTAAGAGTCATGTCAGACAGGCAAATCAATTTAGAGCAATGTCTAATTAAACCAGAACAACTGTGAAACATAGAACCAATTACCTATGTCCTAGTTCATGAGACGCCAGTATACCAATTCCCCCATCAAAGGTGTTTTCACATAATGACACACCTTGACTGGTACAGACCCGACTTAAGAACGCAACACCTGTGACGTAGGCGATGTCGAACCTGTACAGATGAAACAATAACCAGCTAAAGGCGTGGCTAAAGGTGCAGGTAAAGAAGACACGTATTTTACAGATATTTAAAAATACACTAAAAGGACCGTTAGTGTGTACCCAGTAAACAACATGTAGTGGTCACTAAAAGTTAGTGTGTACCCAGTAAACAACATGTAGTGGTCACTAAAAGTTAGTGTGTACCCAGTAAACAACATGTAGTGGTCACTAAAAGTTAGTGTGTACCCAGTAAATAACATGTAGTGGTCACTAAAAGTTAGTGTGTACCCAGTAAACAACATGTAGTGGTCACTAAAAGTTAGTGTGTACCAAGTAAACAACATGTAGTGGTCACTAAAAGTTAGTGTGTACCCAGTAAACAACATGTAGTGGTCACTAAAAGTTAGTGTGTACCCAGTAAATAACATGTAGTGGTCACTAAAAGTTAGTGTGTACCCAGTAAACAACATGTAGTGGTCACTAAAAGTTAGTGTGTACCCAGTAAACAACATGTAGTGGTCACTAAAAGTTAGTGTGTACCCAGTAAACAACATGTAGTGGTCACTAAAAGTTAGTGTGTACCCAGTAAATAACATGTAGTGGTCACTAAAAGTTAGTGTGTACCCAGTAAACAACATGTAGTGGTCACTAAAAGTTAGTGTGTACCAAGTAAACAACATGTAGTGGTCACTAAAAGTTAGTGTGTACCCAGTAAACAACATGTAGTGGTCACTAAAAGTTAGTGTGTACCCAGTAAACAACATGTAGTGGTCACTAAAAGTTAGTGTGTACCCAGTAAATAACATGTAGTGGTCACTAAAAGTTAGTGTGTACCCAGTAAACAACATGTAGTGGTCACTAAAAGTTAGTGTGTACCCAGTAAACAACATGTAGTGGTCACTAAAAGTTAGTGTGTACCCAGTAAACAACATGTAGTGGTCACTAAAAGTTAGTGTGTACCCAGTAAACAACATGTAGTGGTCACTAAAATTTAGTGTGTACCCAGTAAACAACATGTAGTGGTCACTAAAAGTTAGTGTGTACCCAGTAAACAACATGTAGTGGTCACTAAAAGTTAGTGTGTACCCAGTAAACAACATGTAGTGGTCACTAAAAGTTAGTGTGTACCCAGTAAACAGCATGTAGTGGTCACTAAAAGGACCGTTAGTGTGTACCCAGTAAATAACATGTAGTGATCACTAAAAGTTAGTGTGTACCCAGTAAACAACATGTAGTGGTCACTAAAAGTTAGTGTGTACCCAGTAAACAACATGTAGTGGTCACTAAAAGTTAGTGTGTACCCAGTAAACAACATGTAGTGGTCACTAAAATTTAGTGTGTACCCAGTAAACAACATGTAGTGGTCACTAAAAGTTAGTGTGTACCCAGTAAACAACATGTAGTGGTCACTAAAAGTTAGTGTGTACCCAGTAAACAACATGTAGTGGTCGCTAAAAGTTAGTGTGTACCCAGTAAACAACATGTAGTGGTCACTAAAAGTTAGTGTGTACCCAGTAAACAACATGTAGTGGTCACTAAAAGTTAGTTTGTACCCAGTAAACAACATGTAGTGGTCATTAAAAGTTAGTGTGTACCCAGTAAACAACATGTAGTGGTCACTAAAAGTTAGTGTGTACACAGTAAACAACATGTAGTGGTCACTAAACGTTAGTGTGTACCCAGTAAACGACATGTAGTGGTCACTAAAAGTTAGTGTGTACCCAGTAAACAACATGTAGTGGTCACTAAAAGTTAGTGTGTACCCAGTAAACAACATGTAGTGGTCACTAAAAGTTAGTGTGTACCCAGTAAACAACATGTAGTGGTCACTAAAAGGACCGTTAGTGTGTACCCAGTAAACAACATGTAGTGGGCACTAAAAGTTAGTGTGTACCCAGTAAACAACATGTAGTGGTCACTAAAAGGACCGTTAGTGTGTACCCAGTAAATAACATGTAGTGGTCACTAAAAGTTAGTGTGTACCCAGTAAATAACATGTAGTGGTCACTAAAAGTTAGTGTGTACCCAGTAAACAACATGTAGTGGTCACTAAAAGTTAGTGTGTACCCAGTAAACAACATGTAGTGGTCACTAAAAGTTAGTGTGTACCCAGTAAACAACATGTAGTGGTCACTAAAAGTTAGTGTGTACCAAGTAAACAACATGTAGTGGTCACTAAAAGTTAGTGTGTACCCAGTAAACAACATGTAGTGGTCACTAAAAGTTAGTGTGTACACAGTAAATAACATGTAGTGGTCACTAAAAGTTAGTGTGTACCCAGTAAACAACATGTAGTGGTCACTAAAAGTTAGTGTGTACCCAGTAAACAACATGTAGTGGTCACTAAAAGTTAGTGTGTACACAGTAAATAACATGTAGTGGTCACTAAAAGAACCATTAGTGTGTACCCAGTAAACAACATGTAGTGGTCACTAAAAGGACCGTTACTGTGTACCCAGTAAACAACATGTAGTGGTCACTAAAAGTTAGTGTGTACCCAGTAAACAACATGTAGTGGTCACTAAAATTTAGTGTGTACCCAGTAAACAACATGTAGTGGTCACTAAAAGTTAGTGTGTACCCAGTAAACAACATGTAGTGGTCACTAAAAGTTAGTGTGTACCCAGTAAACAACATGTAGTGGTCACTAAAAGTTAGTGTGTACCCAGTAAATAACATGTAGTGGTCACTAAAAGTTAGTGTGTACCCAGTAAACAACATGTAGTGGTCACTAAAAGTTAGTGTGTACCCAGTAAACAACATGTAGTGGTCACAAAAAAAACCGTTAGTGTGTACCCAGTAAACAACATGTAGTGGTCACTAAAAGTTAGTGTGTACCCAGTAAACAACATGTAGTGGTCACTAAAAGTTAGTGTGTACCCAGTAAACAACATGTAGTGGTCACTAAAAGGACCGTTACTGTGTACCCAGTAAACAACATGTAGTGGTCACTAAAAGTTAGTGTGTACCCAGTAAACAACATGTAGTGGTCACTGGCTGGAATGTCGCTCTGTTTCTGGCACCAGGCTGAGAAAGAGTTCAGTCCCTTGGTCTGGTCAAACACCCCGTTAACATCTGTTAAATTTCTGATAAAGGCGTCGTCATTGATGCTCTGACGAGAAAGATATTTTGAGGAAAAATTGAGTAAAATTTATAAATAAAGTTATTTTCATGAAATGTAAATAATGTAACAGGTTTGGTAGTGTGCTAGTTAGTCACACATTTTGTGTGCAAGTTGGGGCAGACATTTGGATATGGTCAGTACTGAGACTAGGATATAATTCTAAATTACCTAACCTTGGAAGATGAGAAATAGCGCACAGCAAAGACGTTTTACACTGGAGATTATTTTTCTGGTCAAACATTGGTTCGTGTAAGAGAGATGCTTGACGTGTTTTTTTTTCTATACTCTTCATCTAGGCCATTCCCCCCAGTCTACTGTATAGGGTACTCACCGTTAATATTTTGAGAATCGTCACAGTTGTCCTGATCTGTATGGCAGGATCAACAATTGATTGATAACGGATGTAAATCTGGTGAATTTAAGAGAACTTTCAATAGGACATTTTAAATCACCATCTGCTATGACGTCTCTAAATTCTGATATATTATAAATGCTAATAATCGTATGTTATAAGTTAAAAAATGTAAACAATTCTTATAAGAAATCATGTGTGTAAGGCAGTGGCGGAACTAGAAAAAAAGGGCCACCCCGCAAAAAAATGTTTTAGGCCCCCCCCATATATATATATATATATATATATATATATATATATATATATATATATATATATATATATATATATATAAATCCTGTTCGGGATTTGAAAAAGCATCAATAAAAAAAAAAATTTCAACATCATGTCATGTGTGTAAGTGCATTAGCGTGTTTTGTGAAAATCAGTTTTTATTGATTTTTGATAGAAGCCCTCTTATCCTCCTGTCGGTCAAAATAATATAAAATATGAAAGCTTTGCATAAGTAATGGTGTCTCGTGTTATGTTTATTTTTATGTGTTTTCTCATAATTATATTATTAATGTTTAAAATATTATTGATTTAATACATTTCAATACATTTCCCTTTTATACAATATCATTCTTTAGTAATTACTTATAAAAAATAATAATTAAGAGAAGTAATTGCTTTTTAATTTGTTTAGTACAAATCTATTAAAAGGAGCTTATGATCACCCCTATTTGACTATTTTTTAAAAAAGGGAAATAAGTCATGGAAGTGGTTTGAACATTTGCTTATCTTTGATAAGTTTAATTGTAGGAGAAATACTCAGCTTTCAAAGTTGTTTAAAAACAAAGGGAAAAAGATGAAACAAGAGCGTAGGGTGGTGTCTATAGAATAAAGATAATCCAACCGCAGCTACGGTAATTTTTTACAAAACAACCATCGAGTCAAAAATGAAAGAAAATTTACTTTTTTTTTAACTATAAAAAAATTTATTATGGTCGGCTCTGGGCCCCTAAATGGCGTGGGCCCCCCCGCATTGCGGGGTCTGGCGGCACTATAGTTCCGCCCCTGGTGTAAGGTAAGTAAACCACATACCATTTGGGCAACGTAAGTGTACCAAACCCGCATCGCTGGTATTGCATTGGCAAGTCCCTCAATCGAAACCCACCTGTAGAGATACAGTATTAATTGGATGAACTCCCCTGACCAAACTAATGTCTTCGCTCTTCTCCATAATATTATGACATCACTCACTAACATACAACCATCCCCACCCCACTTATTTGCTGTAATAAGCGAAGTCTACAACCATCCCCCACCCCCACCCCCACCCCACTTACTTGCTGTAATCAGCGAAGTCTACAACCATCCCCCCACCCCACCCCCACCCCACTTACTTGCTGCAATCAGCGAAGTCTACGACCATCCCCCACCCCCACCCCACTTACTTGATGTAATCAGCGAAGTCTACAACCATCCCCCACCCCCACCCCCACCCCACTTACTTGCTGTAATCAGCGAAGTCTACAACCAACCCCACCCCCACCCCACTTACTTGCTGTAATCAGCGAAGTCTATAACCAACCCCACCCCCACCCCCACCCCCACTTACTTGCTGCAATCAGCGAAGTCTACAACCATCCCCCACCCCCACCCCACTTACTTGATGTAATCAGCGAAGTCTACAACCAACCCCACCCCAACCCCCACTTACTTGCTGTAATCAGCGAAGTCTATAACCAACCCCACCCCCACCCCCACCCCCACTTACTTGCTGCAATCAGCGAAGTCTACAACCATCCCCCACCCCCACCCCACTTACTTGCTGTAATCAGCGAAGTCTATAACCAACCCCACCCCCACCCCCACCCCCACTTACTTGCTGCAATCAGCGAAGTCTACAACCATCCCCCACCCCCACCCCACTTACTTGATGTAATCAGCGAAGTCTACAACCAACCCCACCCCAACCCCCACCCCACTTACTTGCTGTAATCAGCGAAGTCTACAACCATGGCAATCTCTACAGTGTGTACAACTGTTGCCCTTTTGCGACGTGAGGAAGAAAGTTTTGGTTGTCTGCCCTTGTGATGGGTCCTTACCAGTTCGGGTCTCTCTAGATACGCCGCAGTTTAAAAGATTTTAAAGTTTTTAAACTCACGGTAAGGCTTGCATTTTAAATCGTCAACATTGGTGGGGGGGGGGGGGGGTGAATCTGTAAAAATTTGATAATTGACTCACCTACTGGGTCGATTACTGCATCTCCCAATAAACTTATCGTTGTATTGTTCAACATGAAGTGGGAAATTTTATGCAAATGGAGGTCACCGTCTGCACTACGTCTGTCCCTGTCTAACGGTTCAACCTGCCACTCCACCGTGTCGTGTGCAAAGTTTCCCTCCTGTACAAATATAAAAAAGATACGTAGTTAGCAGTTTAGAGATGTTAGATATTCTATTATGCAGTTTCGGGCAATCAACAATTAAATAACAACAAAATTGTAGTACGAGAAAACGTTTTTCTAAATGAGAATATCTTTGGTAAAACCGATTTGGTACGGAAGCCGAGGAACACTGGATTAAAGCATGTTTTATGGCTAAAAGATAAATGAAATAAGTTACCAATGTGTATTTCCCAGCCAACTTCTTCACAATAAAGGCTCCGTTTTTTGATAGGTCTGTGTAGACAGCCACATCCTGAACAAGGGAAAAAATTATTCTGGTGGTTTAAAAATTTATTTTATTCTCGAATGTTCACTCTAATTACTCATCATTATTTTAGCTGGTTAATTAGAAGTTTCTGATTCACATAGGCATGTTGTATCGTCAGTAAAATGGAAACAGTCCTGGCAGTGTTCTGGGAAATCATTATTGTGGTAAACCTATTTTAGAGGTTTTAAATTGTTTCACAGTTTTGGTTTGTTCGGTAAACACATTGGCATGGTCAACACATCTGTAGGTGTTTAATTACATTTCACGATTAATGTCTTGTTTTTCTTAATTAATGTTTGTTGTATGGTGATTTGATGCTGGCTGGTATAATACATGCTCGAGTGAGACGGTTCGTCCACGACAACACTTTGACAATTTGGTGTTTACATAGTCCTCTGATCCTGGCACATTTAACACGAGGAAAATTATTTTGAATACGGTTACTATGGACTCATACGTATAGCTTATAAGAAAAATGGTCACACAATTTACTGTAGTAAATAACCTTGACCTCTCTAGATGTAAACCTCGTGATTTACCTGCATGTCCGGTGTTGTAGCACCTGGTTCACTAGTTACTGTAGGAAGTAACCTTGACCTCTCTAGATGTAAGCCTCGTCATTTACCTGCATGTCCTGTGTTGTAGCACCTGGTCCACTAGTTACTGTAGGAAGTAACCTTGACCTCTCTAGATGTATGGAAACCTTCTCGTCATTTACCTGCATGTCCTGTGTTGTAGCACCTGGTCCACTAGTTACTGTAGGAAGTAACCTTGACCTCTCTAGATGTAAGGAAACCTTCTCGTCATTTACCTGCATGTCCTGTGTTGTAGCACCTGGTCCACTAGTTACTGTAGGAAGTAACCTTGACCTCTCTAGATGTAAGCCTCGCCATTTACCTGCATGTCCTGTGTTGTAGCACCTGGTTCACTAGTTACTGTAGGAAGTAACCTTGACCTCTCTAGATGTAAGCCTCGTCATTTACCTGCATGTCCTGTGTTGTAGCACCTGGTCGACTAGTTACTGTAGGAAGTAACCTTGACCTCTCTAGATGTAAGGAAACCTTCCCGTCATTTACCTGCATGTCCTGTGTTGTAGCACCTGGTCCACTAGTTACTGTAGGAAGTAACCTTGACCTCTCTAGATGTAAGGAAACCTTCTCGTCATTTACCTGCATGTCCTGTGTTGTAGCACCTGGTCCACTAGTTACTGTAGGAAGTAACCTTGACCTCTCTAGATGTAAGCCTCGTCATTTACCTGCATGTCCTGTGTTGTAGCACCTGGTCCACTAGTTACTGTAGGAAGTAACCTTGACCTCTCTAGATGTAAGGAAACCTTCTCGTCATTTACCTGCATGTCCTGTGTTGTAGCACCTGGTCCACTAGTTACTGTAGGAAGTAACCTTGACCTCTCTAGATGTAAGGACACCTTCTCGTCATTTACCTGCATGTCCTGTGTTGTAGCACCTGGTTCACTAGTTACTGTAGGAAGTAACCTTGACCTCTCTAGATGTAAGGAAACCTTCTCGTCATTTACCTGCATGTCCTGTGTTGTAGCACCTGGTCCACTAGTTACTGTAGGAAGTAACCTTGACCTCTCTAGATGTAAGGACACCTTCTCGTCATTTACCTGCATGTCCTGTGTTGTAGCACCTGGTCCACTAGTTACTGTAGGAAGTAACCTTGACCTCTCTAGATGTAAGGAAACCTTCTCGTCATTTACCTGCATGTCCTGTGTTGTAGCACCTGGTCCACTAGTTACTGTAGGAAGTAACCTTGACCTCTCTAGATGTAAGGAAACCTCGTCATTTACCTGAATGTCCTCTGTTGTAGCACCTGGTCCACTAGTTACTGTATAAAGTAACCTTGACCTCTCTAGATGTAAGGAAACCTCGTCATTTACCTGCATGTCCTGTGTTGTAGCACCTGGTCCACTAGTTACTGTAGGAAGTAACCTTGACCTCTCTAGATGTAAGGAAACCTCGTCATTTACCTGAATGTCCTGTGTTGTAGCACCTGGTCCACTAGTTACTGTAGGAAGTAACCTTGACCTCTCTAGATGTAAGGAAACCTCGTCATTTACCTGCATGTCCTGTGTTGTAGCACCTGGTCCACTAGTTACTGTAGGAAGTAACCTTGACCTCTCTAGATGTAAGGAAACCTCGTCATTTACCTGCATGTCCTGTGTTGTAGCACCTGGTCCACTAGTTACTGTAGGAAGTAACCTTGACCTCTCTAGATGTAAGGAAACCTTCTCGTCATTTACCTGCATGTCCTGTGTTGTAGCACCTGGTCCACTAGTTACTGTAGGAAGTAACCTTGACCTCTCTAGATGTAAGGAAACCTTCTCGTCATTTACCTGCATGTCCTGTGTTGTAGCACCTGGTCCACTAGTTACTGTAGGAAGTAACCTTGACCTCTCTAGATGTAAGGAAACCTTCTCGTCATTTACCTGCATGTCCTGTGTTGTAGCACCTGGTCCACTAGTTACTGTAGGAAGTAACCTTGACCTCTCTAGATGTAAGGAAACCTCGTCATTTACCTGCATGTCCTGTGTTGTAGCACCTGGTCCACTAGTTACTGTAGGAAGTAACCTTGACCTCTCTAGATGTAAGGAAACCTCGTCATTTACCTGCATGTCCTGTGTTGTAGCACCTGGTCCACTAGTTACTGTAGGAAGTAACCTTGACCTCTCTAGATGTAAGGAAACCTTCTCGTCATTTACCTGCATGTCCTGTGTTGTAGCACCTGGTCCACTAGTTACTGTAGGAAGTAACCTTGACCTCTCTAGATGTAAGGAAACCTTCTCGTCATTTACCTGCATGTCCTGTGTTGTAGCACCTGGTCCACTAGTTACTGTAGGAAGTAACCTTGACCTCTCTAGATGTAAGGAAACCTTCTGGTCCTTGAGGACAAAGTCCAGTGTAAGAATGTCCGGCATCCAGAGCTCCACATTTCTTCTGGCTCTGGTACTGGACCTCTCAGAGACGGACACGATGTACTCTGTGGCAGACGTCAGTGGGGTGTACAGAAAATGTTAAAACAAAGTTGCAAGAGAAGATCTGATGAGTACTGATTTGGAAATACTTTTTTTTTGCTTGGATTTGATATTTTTTGCATGATTCTATAGGAAGTGAATAGCTTCAAAATGTGAATAATAAATTTATATTATTTTCTGTATAATAGACATATTTGCAATTAATTCTTGACCTAAGCTATATATATATATATATATATATATATATATATATATATATATATATATAACTTTCCTCATAAAAACTACTGTAGTACACTTAAAATAAAGAATATAACTAGTGGATTAGATGAAGTATTATGAAATATTAAATTTAGTTGAATGATACTTTCATATATCATTTGATATAATATTACTTTCATTATATTGATCTAACATTACTTTCAAATTATCATCGCATATATATATATATATATATATATATATATATATATATATATATATATATATATATATATATATATATATATATATATATATATATATATATATGGTCCTAGGACCTTTGACCACAGGTGCTTTGACCATAGGGGGTTTGACCATAGGGGGTTTGACCACAGCGGAGCTTTGACCATAGGGGCTTTGACCATAGGGGGTTTGACCATAGAGGTGCTTTGACCATAGGGAGTTTGATCATAGGGGGTTTGACCATAGGGGGTTTGACCACAGGTGTTTTCTCATCAGAGGGTCTTTGATCACAGGTGGTCTATCAACGGGTGTTTGATCACAAGCGCTGTGTCCGGCTTTGATCATAGGTGTTTTGTCCACATAGGGTCTTTGATCTCAGGTGTTTTGTTTCCAGTTGAAACTTGGAATCAAATGCACGCGATTGGCGATGGTGTAGCACGAACAAATAACATTTGTGAAGGATGGCATTACAGTCTTCAGTCTCTCTTCCAATGTAGTCACCCAACAATGTGGCGTTTCCTTGAAGGTCTACAGATGGACTGCACACGGCAAAAGACATAGACAACTTTCTTGCATGGTGTCGCAGGGGCAAGCTACGCAGCTGAGAAGCGATACAAGATGCTGCACGAAAAAGTACAACGTGCTGTCCAGACATATAGTCAAACAGATGTACTGACATATTTGCCTGCTATAGCACATCTGTCATTTAGTTAACCATTTTATGTATTACATCTTTGACTATATTGTTGGCAAGTTTTGTATCATTTTTTATCCTTTATATATGCTATGTATTTTCAAGTACATCTACATTATTTATTTGTGAACTTGTTATATGTCGCATTATTTGTGTTTCATTTATATTTAAAATAAATCTACGAGGCCTAGCACCAGCCTTTATAGTTCTTGTCTTTTT